TTTAAAAATCAACGATGTGTCATCAGCAAATAATACCATTCCCGGTTCACGTTGAAATAAATGAGGTAAATCATTTATGTACACTAAAAACAGGAAAGGACCTAATATTGAGCCCTGTGGTACGCCCATAGATATGCTAGTACCCTGGGAGTTCACTTGCTACTAGGGAAGACAACGATGACGATTATAAAACGATGTTCAAAAACTCCACAGAATGTCAACAGCAAATACAGTGCATACACGTACCTTGGACTGCTACGACACACGTTGAGCCTTCCACCTTCGATGATTCCAAGGGCAGGAACACAGGAATTCCGGGATGCGAGTTTGAGAGTCACGCGCGAGTGAGAAAGATCGCGGTGATTTGTTCAGGATTCGGATAAGAGACGTTGAGCGCGAAAGGAGATGTTCTCACACACGGCTTTTGAAAAGTGAATGTCGTTGCTCCAACTTTTTACGAGTCACGGTACGCACCACAGACTATATAAGGTCTGCGTTTCGCTGTTGCAAACTGATGGAGCATTGAACATCGATTACTTGAATTTGGAGAATTACGTTTAGTTTGTATGATGACGGAACAGTACGTCAATACGTGCTTTTTTTTAACCGACTTCCAAAAAGGAGGAGGTTCTCAATTCGACTGTATATTTGCTTTTTTTATGTAATAGTTCGGCAAAAGAGCATACGGATTACCTGCTGGTAAGCAATCAGCGCCGTCCATGAACACCCGCAGCGCGTTGTCGACCTTTTAGAGATTAGGGATTTGGAGATTTAAGGATTGGGGAGGGATCGGAGGAGGGGAAGCATTGGGCCTCCGGTAACCTCCCTTACACGGCGAAACACAACGCTGTGGTTGTATCCGAATAATCCGCGGTTATCGCACGATCTCCGGGGAGGCGGCGAACCTCCTTGCCGAATCACCGCCGTGGGGTCTGGAATCCAAGGCACTCGCGCGCGTCGCCTGGGCGAGGACCCTCTGCCGCGCCAAATTAGTGCGTTTAGGAATGAGCTTCGGCGTGATCTCATGGCAGAGTGTGAGTCCTCACCTTCCGCCTGACGCAGGTCCTTACCGGGCACGGCAGCTTCGGTAGGTTCCTGTTTCGGATACAGCGGGAGGAAACGCCCGAGTGTCATCATTGCGAGGACAACCTAGAGGATACGGTGGAGCATACCGTGGCGGTATGCCCTGCCTGGGCTGAGCAACGCTGTGTCCTCAGGGAAGTGATCGGCGGCGGCGACCTCTCGCGCCCGGCCTTAGTCGAGGCCATGGTGCGGAGTGAGAGGAACTGGGACGCAGTCTCCTCCTCCTGTGAAGCAGTTATGCTCGCAAAGAGGGAGGCGGCCCGCGTGACGGAGCAATCCTCCTCCTCACGCCCCAGCCGCCGCAATAGGCGACATTCCGGGTGACGGGGATCGAGAGATGATCTCCGGCCACCGTAAGCGCGAATCTGCGGTCGGCGAGTAAGGGCAGCTCGCCGCCCGGCCAGAACCATGCCCGAGCGTAAGGCGCGTAGCGTTCCGCGCGCGCCTCAGAGATCCAATAGACCACCACAGACGGGGCCCTATAAGGCTGATGTTCAGCCGGGGTTGCGGAGTAAGCGCAATGAGGCACTGCGACCTCGGCTCAGAGCAGAAGAAGGAAAAGGGGGGTTTTTAGTCAGTAAGAGTCTGACACTCCTTCTCGCCCGGCCCTGGGCGGTTGAAGTCATTTGATGATTATCCCCTCACAAAAAAAAAACGCTGTGGTTGTTTCACGCCTGTTTTCTGTGAGGCCGTGGTATCACTCCGGTCTAGCCGACCCATTCGTGCCGAAGCATGGCTCTCCCATACTACAATTAAACAAATATTTCAAGAAGCATTGCCTTCTGTATCAGGCACTTGATACATCCGCCTAACGCCAGCCTCATTACTAACATACAACTCCTAAAATAACCATTATTTTGATTTTCTTCCTAAAGTAAAATTAGTTAATTTAATTATATCCTAAAATCTGATCGTATTTGTAAAGTAACTCTTAAAAGAGGCAAATTGTAAATGCTCGATTGATCAGAGTAGCATCGTTGTGCTTCGCCGTGTGAGTGAGGTTACCGGACGCCCAATCTCTTTCCAATCCTTAAATAATCCGTATATAAAACTCTTATGCCTAAAAGGCCGGCAACGGACTCGTAACTCTTTTGGTGTTGCGGGTGTCATCAGGTATGCCGTTTGCTCGTTTGCTGACCTATAACACAAAAAAAGATCAAGTTCCACCGAGCCGGTATCATCATCATTATCATCTATATACAGCCTATAAGCGCCCACAGCTGCAGGACTTGAGGTGGATTGGTGATTTGAAACTTAATATTAAAAAAATCTCGAATTCACTTCTGGTGCAAGTAATAACTGCGGGCTGATTGTTAACTCTAATGAGTTTGGCATGAAATTTGAATTACCTACCTATCGCATTTAAATTTTATTTTGAAAATAAAACGTTGCCTCACTTTAGGATTGTGTAGTGGGTGCGTTTACAAATATACATTTTCACACACACATCACACCCAGACCCGAAACTACAATTTGTGGATCACACAGAGTTGTTCCGTGAGGGAATCGAAACTCCGACACGTTGCGCGGCAGCCAGTTGCCCAGCAAACGCGCGAACCGTGCAGTCCATGGGACTTTAATGTATCCTTATGTTTAACAATCACTATACATTAGTATAAACACGTGGAACAGAATTTATTGAAATTTTATAAAGCTGTAAAGGATACAATATACTCTGTATAAAAAGTAGCATTTATAGGCAATGATAAATTGAACACTAGTTAAAGGCAAGATAATCGAAGTTACACGTGTTCCTAGGTAAAAATACATACATCCTGGAAGTGACGAGTAGAACAGTTCATTAGTGATTTACACTTCAATGAGCAATTCTCACTATTGACTGCGACACATGCTAATATTTTTAGAATAACTGGAATCTATGTTCATGTTATTATTATCTATGTATTTAAAAGTAATAAAATATAATAATTTTTGAATTTTTTTATATGTTTTGCTACGTTTTCTGGTCCTAGATTGCCACTGGAGTACTTTCTGAGTTCATCGGTCGTCCTTTGAGCGACGTGGTTTGCATTGCCACTTTAGGCCGCAGATTTTCCGACGACATCGACAGAGTGGGGCGCCAATGGATGCAGATTCCAACTTATTGTCGCTCGACGTGGAGAACTAAGGAAGGCCTCAGCAGTAGACGTCTTCCGACTGATGATAATGATGATTTTGATATGATTTGATCTATTAGGTATGGGACTTTAACGCAAAACATCCACGCAACAAATACGATATAAATCAAATCATTTTTGAGAAAGGAGAAAACAACTAATTAATGGCTTCGCCAGCTAAGAGTGTTTCGCTTTTCTTATTAACTAAAAACTACCTCGTTCCTTTTCCTGCTCCATGCCGGGCGATACAACAGCAACGCCGGCTGTACATCGTCCATAGTGAGTCTCAGAGGTGGTAGTGTGATATCCTGTATGGCACCGTACCGTATTTGGTTCTGGTCCATCGGCGAACTAGCCTTAACTACGCAGGATAGATAATAAGGATTGGGAAGAGATGGAGGGGAGGTATTAGGCCTTCGATAACCTCTATCACACGGCGAAACACAACGGTGTGGTTGTTTCACGCTGCTTTTCTGGTAGATTGTTGTATCACTCCGGTCGAGCCGACCCATTCATGCCGAAGCTTGGCTCTCGCGTGCTTCTAGTCTAACTAAAGAAATCAATTAAAACAAAGCTCGGGCCACATCATTAAAGCGTCCGTTAAAAAGCCTGCGACACTCATCAACTGTGGCTAACCTTAGTAAATGCGCCAATGTAGCTCGTAATTAAAAAGCAACAGAGTCATTGTCAGGTAGGATGCATAGTACCTACCTACGAAGCGAAGTTAATGTACTATCAATTTATTTACTTTTCTAAAACGTCGATGATCAAATCGTACCCAAAAGTCTAAAAACTTATAAGATACACAAAGTAGCAGCGCAAAAGTCGCCGCGTCACCTGTCGCGGATTGCTGCTCATGAATATGGGCCTCGAGCATGGCTTGAAACTAGTCGAGTATCTCGTCAAACAATTACGTGAGTAAGCCGAAAATATGATAATTCAGATACACAAACATGTATATTGTTACAAATAAAAGAGCAATGATAATAATCTCACTTCAAGCATGAGAGAGTTTTGTTACGCCACGAATGGACCGATTCGACCGAAGTGACACCACGGCCTCAAAGAAATCGGGCACAAAACAGCACTTGCATTGTTTAGCTGTGAGTAAGATCCAAGAGAGACCGGCATTGCAAATCTTACCATCCCCCTCTTCCTTCCAACTTCAAAGGCATACCACCTAAAAGGGCGCCAACACATTTGCAACACCTCCGTTGTTGCGGGTGTCCATAGGCCGCGCTGATTGCTAACCATTGAGTGATAGGCTCGCTCGTTTACCGGCCTATCCCATAAAAACAAGATTCGAGTACCTCTAACCGCGCTTGTACAAATTTCTTATAAACCCTTTCACTTTTATTAAACGCCTTGTCAACTTAAAACGAGTGAAAAACAATATACTTAAACAAACTTGTGAACTAAAAAACATAAGTTCTCACTATAAATACGTGTAATGGGCCACCCCCAACCTAGTCTGCTACAGCTCTGGTGACGCAAAGGTGAAGCGTCACAATGATTAGCACCAGCGACCACTAGACCACCGGACGCTCTAATTACCTTGACGTTAGCCGATACTAATTGCAACTCGGGAATCTTAAACGTTCGTGCCATGGGTACCAGTTGCCGAGATTTCAATTATTTTGTCTAAGTCTAGATCTTTGTCATATTTTTTTTTATTGAACTGTTTACAAAATAAAGATTCCGATAGTACATATCCAGAAAATAAGTAGATAAAAGCAGTTATCCTATATCAATACGGTATTTTTTTTTGGAATTGTAAATGAAGAAGTGTAATTGAAAATATCAAGGTGTTAATAAAACATGAGCGGTGGCGTAGGCATATCGGGCCGGCGTCAAGATAGAGCGTTTAGAGCGTTTGTCGCTCAATAAGGCTCCCAGTGAGGATCTGAGCGAATTCGTAGCGAGCGGAAGGAGGCGGCCGGGCCGCGGTCGATAGACGCTGGGGCGCAGGCGCGGGTTCTTGCCGCCGGAGGGGCTACAAGAACACGCCAGTCCGCCGGCAAGCTGATACGCGGCTGCCGGCAGCCAGCGTCCGCAAGGGCGCACGCGGACGCGCAAAACATGCATACGTGCCGTCCGCGCGGCGTGCACAGCATCGCGCTTGTGCTGGCTCTCGCGATCGCCTGGTTGCCTCATGCTGACCATGCCGCGTGAGTATCTCCACTTCCATCACCAGGTTCTCGTCGTGACCATCGATCATCTTGCGTGACTACGACGCTCAGCTCGCGCGCACCCCGCACGCACTTGAGAAGCCATAGCGTGCGTGTAAATCTCTCAAAGCCGAGAGTTCACATTGCTCGACGCGCGTCTGATTTGTTTATAACACGGCCTCGGTGCTAATCCCTCGCAAATAAGCTAATAAGCAAAAGGGTTCGGGCTCAAGGTTTCTCAACCTTATTTACTTGCTTATTAAAACTGTGTGCTTAAAAAACAACGAGCTCGTCTTCATTTATTTCAAAAATGTTTCTTAAAAAAGTGCTTGGTAATATACTTTCTAAATATATTTGGTGCCGAGTTTCAATTCAATGTACATACTTATACTTTAGTAATACTCATGCAATTTACCTATTCGTCGAGCGCTCGTTCGGGACTCATGAGAACAATATCGAAGAAATTGAGACCGCCATTAGGCCCACAGAGAACGATTTTTCGTCGCAGCGCTGATTTATTTTCTGTTTCATTTATAACATGTTTTAAAAATTATCTTGTATGTGAATAAAGAGTGCTGTACCTACTTTGTTTAAATGTCATTACATTCAGTATTTAAAAAATATCTCAAACTGTGTATGTAACAGTTAGAGAGAGAAATCTCAGCAGTTGAGACAGCGAGAGGATTGACCTTTGGATTTTAGTAAAACATTACATTCCGTGTCAAAATAATTCTTATTTTGAAAATGAACAGCAAACGCTAGGTATTTAAATCCAAAACAATAACTTGTTTATATTGAAAATAGATATCGTTCGTAGTTTATGAAAGAAATAAAGACAACCAGTGTTGGCTATTGTCATTTTCTCTGTTCAGTTTGGGAAGATAAAATGGGTATATCAACTGTTTATTTACCTATAGTGAACATTGTGAGAGATAGTTGTTTAATATATACATAAGTTATATCTATTAGCGTTTGTTGTTATTGATATACTGACCGACAAATAGGTGGGACGATCGAAATTCCCCTTGACCTTTACCTAAATTAATTGAAATACGTTGGTCACCGATATTCTGAATACGTTATATCGCAACAAACCGCGCAATTATCGCCACGTAATTATTTCCCGGTATCAATGATGGGCAATGTATCGGTTTACTTTTCAGTAAATAAATAATTACACTGTAACCTTGATGGAAATGTTAATATTTTACATTTAAACTTTCAATGTCATGAATCAATAGTCGATGTTAAATTGATGTTTTTATGTTTTTAACCTGCTAAAACTTTCATTTCGTGTTTTTAATTCATTTATGAGACGTAAATTCTATCATTTGTCAAGATTTGCTATAAATAACAACAAAGCGACCTGCATAGTCACGTGCATTTAAATGTATTTTCGCTTTTGAATATTGAGTTGTAAAGCTTTCACTCTCTGTGAACGAAAGTAAAAACATACAGGAATAAAATAGGGCAGAAGCTGAGTCGAAGCATTATTTTCAAGAAAACTTCTTCTCAGAAATATTTACCTGTCATTTATACGATTCTGAGTTCAAGTTCATTTTACAGCAATATAAGCAGCTTCGAACTCAAGATGTCTAGTCTTAAGTAGGTACTTGTACTTATTTATTCAGAGAAAACTCGATATTATATTTTAATGTGTTGGCACTTGAGACGCGTCTTATGATACACAAGTGGTTTGTTTTGATATCAAATGTGAAGAATCAATAACTTTGTTTTTTTCCCAAATAAATATATTCCCGTTCAAGTGGTTCGTTGTAACTTTGGCAATAAAAACATCAGAACTTATAAATTGAGGACACGCTACTTAAATCTTGTGAAGAAAAAAGGTTAAATATTGAGAGCATTGTTTGTTTATACAATTATCGATTGCTCTTGTATATTGTTGCCTAGCCAACAACAATACTGAATTTACAATACATAATATAGGGGATTAAGTCATCATGAGCCTATAAAAACCCACTGCTGAGTAAAGGCCTTTTCTCACACGGAGAAGGTTTAAGCATTAATCAACATGGTAGCTCATTAGAAATTATACATGCAGGTTTCCTTATGACGTTTTTCTTCACCATATATCAATGGTGTCCAAAAAATCAGATCAAGTGTAAGACTGAGCACAAGCATGGCAATAATTCTACAACCATGTAATACCGTCAACACATTATATGTCAGTTGGTGTTTGTTAACTAAGCTCGTCATCTCCCTATTAATATTTATGTATGTGACTAGAACATAACAGTTAATTAAATTAATACTTACATATATTTGAATAATCAATGTCACTAAAAACACGCATCTACTTAATTTGCCTTCATGAATATTTGAAAAACAATGCGTATTATATTAATATTACAAAGAGGTAAAACTTGTAAGTTTGAATGTAGGGGGTAATCTTTGGAAAGGCTGGTCGAATTTTCAAAATTCTTTCACTGATAGATAGATTTAATGTTCCTGAGTACTACATGCTATAAAACATCACGCTACAACCAATAGGAGCCGGCGAGTCAACCCGCGCGGCAGTAGCTAGTCTATAAATAAAAATAAACATGGCAGCTAAACGTTTGAAGATTGCACCTAAAATATTGATCGATTCTTTGATATGTTATGCATATAGCGAATCCGTACTGACCTCTGACTTTTGAACACGCTCCGGTGTACTTGTAAATATTTCCGCTATTAAGGATAATGTTACCTACATATTATTTCAAGTGAACGCTAACTGTTACGAAGATGTTTAGGGGTTCAATGTACGTATTCTTTTAGAAAACAATTTTATTGTTGTTATGCGGGTTAAAAGTAACTTCTAAATACACATTTATAGAAAAGGTTATCATTTTTATGGCGGCAAATATAATTTAGTTTAGTGGTTGGTGGCCCGGAGGTTAAAGAGCCCGCTTATCATGCATTAGGGTGTGGGTTCGAAACCTGGCAAGTACGAATGTGACTTTTTCCGATATATATGTACTTTCTATGATTGATGAAGGTAAATATCGTGAGGAAACCTGGACTTATAATTTCTAACTATAAGTTTGAAATCGCCAACCCATTGAGCAAGCGTGATGATTAATGCTCTAGCCTTCTCCGTATGAGAAGAGACCTTTGCTCAGCAGTGGGCACTTATAAGCTGATGATGATGAAATTTAATTTAATGAGGAGTATCTGTTTGTATCCAGTCTAACTAGGAGATAGCCCTTTAGAACATCGGTTCATTTCAGTAAAAATATGATAATATAGTTATACAATGATAAAAAATCTATAAAAAAATCTATAATTAATATTTTATAGTACCCATAGATAAACTGATGATGATAATGATCGTCATTATCATCTTATTAAGATCAAATTACCCTTTCAATGGACAAAATGTTAGATCATAAAATAATATGTAATCTAAACAAAAACGAATCAATTATCTAACCCAGTACAAATACCTATATGTTCAGAGCTAAATAACTAGTAAAATGAACTTATTCTGAACGTCGGAGCGTAAGATCTCGGAACAAAGGAGGAACACTACAAAAGTTACAGCGCTTCGATTACAAACGATGTCTGCGGTCGTCCGCCCGCCACACCGACAACTTTTTCAATGTTGCCGTTTGAACTTCTCTCCGTCCTCTTATATAGAAATAAAACTAGAGAGAATAAGTACCTGCATTATGAAGTACCCTTGTTACGGAACCAATTAGTTTTAGTGAAGTATAAGTAAGAACACAACGTCAGCTGACTGACTAGTCGAAACTTTGTCTGCAACTGATTTAACGTCTTGGGTTATTAATTGGGTATTCTCCAAGCACTTACTTATTTCTTCATATATGTATATAAAAATATTGACAATTTCATTGTAGGTATTGGTTACTCTATTTAAATTATATATCTCTATAAATATAATCACTATAAATATAATCTGAAAGTATATATAAAAATGGATTGCAAAATGTGTTGGTAAGCGCATAACTCAACAACACCTTGACCAATTTTGCTAATTCTTTTTTTGTTGTGTTTGTTATTGTCACGAGAAGGTTCTTATGAAAGGAAATATTAGAAAAGTAGAGGGGACGATTAGGAAAAAGTGACCCTTTGATAGCGAGATAGTTGGACCCGTGCGAAGCGGGGGCGGGCCGCTAGTACAATCTATAAAATTATATATATTCAAAATGTAAGAAATATTGATAAACTTTGTTGTAAGTACATCAACTGAGTTGCTTACAGTAAAAATCTATTTCAAGAGTATGGAAGGCAAACAGCTTATTTTTCTCATTAAACGTAAAAAAACAAATCAAGCAAATCAATCAAATACACGCTTGAAAATATAGGTGAATCAGTTTGAAAAACGACGTAAACTGTAGCCTCTCATTGCAAAACAAGATGTATATAATTTAGTTTAGGTTTAAATTACTGAATCAGGTTTTGTATTTTGAATCTTATTCTCATCTACCTTTAATTTGCCGGGGTTGCGGGGTAAGCGCAATGAGGCACCGCGACCTCGGCCCAGAGCAGAAGGAACAGGGGGTTTTTAGTCAGTAAGAGTCTGACACTCTCTCTCGCCCGGCCCTGGGCGGGAGAAGTAATTTGATGATTTTCCCCTCACAAAAAAACCTACCTTTAATTTGTAATAGAAAAACTGGTAATGGCTTAGACCTAGTCCAAAAAAAACCTTGTTTTGCAATAAGGCCGTAGGTGTCCAATGTTCATATTAGAAGCATTATAACGAGTAAGCTGTGTAGTCATGCACTCGTGTCTGCGTTTTCAATGGCCATTCATAGTCAAGTTTAGAGACGCATTCAGACACATCATCGTCTCTGAGTAATTACTTAAGTTAGTAGCCGGAGTCTAGTGTAGCTGCTCATTTGATCAAAATCACGGTCAAGATCAAAATGTGTATACCAACAAGCTATTTAGATAATGACGTATCGAACTTGATTGGTAATTGGAGCAAACTAAGGCTAAGAACTCACGGAGCGATTTTGAACCGTGCCC